ACAGGTTATCCGTACGTCCGTCTGTCCATTATAATTTGTAAACACGATACAGACCACAGTTATGGACCAATCTTCACAAAATTGTGCATGTAGGATGGGTTCTGGCCAATGAAGACCCCTAATCGGTTAATATTTAGGGGATGAAATGGACCAAAAACTTTATTTTTGTCTGATTTTTTGGTCGCTCCAGAGGCCGCAATTATGGTCCAAACATCGCGAAATTTTACTTGGAGAAGGGAATCGGGCCAAAAAATAAGCATGCCTGTTTTGATAAAGATCGGTCAATATTTTGTGAGTCAAATGGACCCTGACTTTTGTGTGAAAAATTACAAAATTTGTATTCTATAGCGTATATATTTACTCCTGAAGGACATAGACCAGAGAAGTTGATAGTATATCCAAGAGGAGTGTTTGACCTTTAAATTGATACCAATTATATTGTCGAATGTTCTCGTATGTGGGTGTTACACTTAAATATGTGCAGGTGCTTACGTATTCAGATATTATTAAATAACCCATTACCACACTAGAGGGCGGAAATATAGCGCTGATCGCTATTAAATTTTGCATGAGATTCCAGTTATGGTCAAGGACAACGCCTATAATTTTCGGTGATGATCAGATTATAATATTGGGATGAAGTGGACCAAAAACGTAATTTTTTGTGTTTTTTGAGTCGATGCCAATAATAGGCCGAACATCACTACCCAACCCACGGTGAAGGGAATCTGGACAATTAATTAGAATGGCTGTACTGAATATGAATAGTAATATTCGGAAAATATGTCAGTGTAAGAAAAAGGTGCTGTTGACCTCTAATCGGGCCAGATTGATAAAATATCACGAAATATTGCCCAGGCTTGGAATAAACATCCGCAGAAAGTTAGATTTCCGTGGTAGTTGTGTAGGGTATCGTATGGTCGGCCCCGTCCAACTATACTACTCCGCTCACTATTTTTTAGAATATTTTTTTAAGGACTTTCAATGGCGTGGATTTTTAAAGAATATATTTTCAATGTCTATCAAAGGAGTGGATTTTTTAAAAAATATTTTTTCAAAGGTCATCAATGGCGTGGATTTTTCAAAGAATGTTTTTTCAAAGGTCATCAATGGCGTGGATTTTTCAAAGACCATCAATGGCATGGATTTTTTAGGGCGTGGTTTTTAAAGAATATTTTTTCAAAGGTCATCAATGGCGTGGATTTTTCAAAAACCATCAATGGCGTGGATTTTTTAGGGCGTGGTTTTTTAATGAATATATTCTAAAATAGATTTTTAAGGAATATTTTTTTAAGGATTTTTTAAAGAATATTTTTTTAAGGATTTTTTAAAGAATATTTTTCAAAATGGTTTTTAAGGAATATTCATTTTAAAGAAATTTTTTAACGAATATTTTTAGGATTTTTATGAAAAATTTATTTTAAGGACTTTTTGAAAGAATATTTTTTATTTATTTTAATGTTTTCTTTTATAAAATTTTTTTTCAGGAGCTAAAAAAGTGTGGATTTTTAAAAAATATATTTTTTGAAGGATTATATACTTACCATTAAACCAACAGGAATCCTCGCCAAATCCCGGCTTATATTTCTCCGGCATATTCGAGTTCTGTATTATCAATAATACTGCGGTGAGAGCAGCTGGAACACCCCAACCATATGCCAAATAGGTAACAAAATGATTTTCTCTATTCACAATGCTTTTCAGCATGTCAAAGAAGATGACATTTAACCAAAAGAAGGATACCACAGAAAAGAAATACCCAGAGAATCCTTTTATAAGAAAAGTAAACTAATAATATATGTCTTTACTTGTAATATAGTGTGGACTTACCCACAATACTGCACCACACACCCGTCAATTGGGTATCGGAAATATATGTTGAGGCCACAAAAATATTGCCAATGGTGAGAGAAATCAAAAAGCATATTAAACTGTTTTCCTGCAGATTAATCTTTTCCGGTTTCACCAAAATAACCAAAATTGTGAGAGCAAGAAAAACTATGGATATGCAATCAGCTGGAAATGAAGAATTTTTAAAATTTCAGAATTAAATATTCAATGAAAAATTGAGAAAAAAATGCTTCATTAACACTTACCCACATTATTAAACAGTCTTGAAGCAGTAACCGGTTTATCTAACGGACAAATCATTGGACTTAGCACCCATGGACTGCCACCAAACGCCGCATTATCATCTCGCATCTCTGGCATGAAACAGTATTCACTTTTACTCAAAATCCGTAAATTATAGTAGAGTACCAGTGAACCATTCTCCAGCAGATTCCATTTTTCGTGCAAATTCATCAACGGATTCAGGGGATAGGCATTGTCACACGGTATGCCCAGGACCATGGTAAATTCTTTGGTTATGTCAACAATACGTCGGGTACCATTCATAGTTATCACCTTCATGTTGTGATTAAATTTCGGCACCTCATACAATTCCTCACATTGTCGGCTACTGTTCGACAATGTTTCTCGCGTCGGATGGCAACAAAATTTGATGCAGCTGCGTTCACCCGGTCGACAAACACAGCCACGTGGATGTGGTTCGCGGGATATTCGATCACCATCGTATATAATTTCATAGTCGTAGATGCTCACCTGTTCGGCCGGTATTATTAAATCGTCACCATATAAATATGAACCGTTGGCAAATTTTTGGGAATGGCTCAAATCGACGGTGTCTTCAAAATTACAAAATGGAACTGCCTGAGTTAAGTGATATGCTGGCAGGATAGAGAGTACCATTAGAATTTGTTGAATATGTGGGCGTGACATTGTAAAAACGCTGTGGGAGACAAAGTAAAAAAGGAGATATTTTCAAAGTTTGTAAATTTAGAAGGAAAGTCCAGATTTACCACATTAGATTTAAGGTTGAACTGTTTTTTTATCAATTGTAAATCTTGAAAAAATACTTTATATTTCAAGCGTCAAATGAAAAAACATCTCTTTCGGCCGGCTGAACTTTATTTACCCTTTACCATAAAGTGCCTAAAATGGGTTGGGTCTTTTTAAATGGAGGGCATGTTAAATTGCTGCCAGGATTAATCAAAATAGTAAACGACAGACAAACAGATAAGCAAATTGCTTCAGGATCTTAATACCCCAAATTACGCGTGACCATTGCAGGGGGGCTTTGTAGAAAGAAAGAAGAAGGTGTTTATCTACCAAGGTCGTGTCATGCTAAGTTACAAACATTTCGTAATGTTAAAATAAGGTCACGTCCATTAAGACACCTATCAAAGGGGCTGCTATAAGTATACCGATCGTCATATCTCGACTAGCTGAATAGATCTAGACATGTGTGTCCGTCCGTCCGTCTGTCCATTATAATTTGTAAACACGTTACAGGCCACAGTTATGGACCAATCTTCACCAAATTTTGCATGTAGGAAGGGTTTGGACCAATGAAGACCCCTATTGTTTCTGGTCGCTCCACGGGCCGCAGTTATGGCTCAAACATCTCGAAGTTTAACATGAAGAAGGGGATTGGGCCAAAGAATAAGCATGTCTGTTTTGATAAGGATCGGTCAATATTTAGCGGGCCAAATGGACCCTGACTTTTGTGTGATCTATAGGCTACAATTATAAGCCGAACATCACAACACAACCCACGGTGAAGGGAGTATGGACAAGTAATTAGAAGGGCTGTGCTAAATATTGGTAATATTCGGAAAATATGTCAGTGTAAGGAAGAGGTGCTGTTGGCCTCTAATCGGGAAAGAGGGTACAACTATCACGAAATATATAAAAATTCGCAAAAAGAGTTCTGTGTTAGTTGTGCAGGGTATCGTATGGTCGGCCCCGTCCGACTATACTGCTCCGCTCCCTGGTTTATTATTGTCGTTCACTGAACGATTTTGTTTACCAAACTCAGTCGGTCACTGAACGACGTTGCTCAATGAAAGCCGTGGGTCACTGAACGACATTGTATTTGTTTCTACACCATGGCACAATGACTAGGTAGTCCATTTAGCGCAGCTGATGTCTCGATTAACTGTCAAAGTGGGTAATTTCTACTTGAATTCGATGTTTAGTGTTGCCAACCATATGAAATATTATAAGGGAAAACTGGACAGGTTATCCAGACAAAAAGAAAGGTTGTTGTTGTGATACATCTCCTTATTATAGCATCATGTTCCACACCTTCAGTGTTGTTCACAGGTGCAATGACTTAGGCAAATAGAACGGCGTCAAATAAGAAAAATTTCATATAAAATCTGTTGTCTATTGTTGTCCCATTTCATGGAATGCGGTGCTTAAAAGATCAAATGCTGCAGTATTTTTTTTCGTATAGCTGAAGTGGTTCACCTAAAATTCAAATTGTACCAAATTCAGTACCATTTAGTACCCATAAGTATTAATTTGTTAAACTGAATCCTGACCCTAATCCTACATCCCAACAATTATCCTTACTCCAAATTTCATTGTTCCAGCTCTATCGGTGCATCCAAATCCAAATTGTACCATTTATAGTACGATTTAGTACTTTTCGTACACATAAGTAAAAATTTTCCAAAACAACGTACATATCCTAATCCTACACTCGGACGGTAATGTTACTTTAAATTTTCAGGATTCCAGCTCGATTTATACCTTCCAATAAAATGTGTACCAAATATACTACCGTATAGTATTTTTCGTACACATGAGCACACGTTTTCCAAACTCTCCTCACCCTACTTCTCAACCTTAATTTGCATTCCAATTTTCAAGTTTGTAGCTCAATCCATTCACATGCTATGAAATTGTACCAAATTTAGTACATTTCAGTACTTTTCGGATTCTCATAGTACAAATTTCCAAAAAGCCCTTTGCTACATCTATTCTACACTCCATCAGTGGCCCTCAATCCAAATTTCAGAGTTCTAGCTCTACTGGTTCGCCAAATACAAATGGTATCACATTTAGTACTTTTCGTATCGTTCTAGTACGAATTTCCAAGAACCCAGCCTTATCTGTCACCTTTGGACCAAGAGTGAACCTCACCCAAAATTTCAAGATTCTAGCTTCAGCCGTTTTGTCTGGGCGTTGATGAATCGTTAAATCAATTAGTCAGTCAATCACTTTTTTCTTTTATTAGTATAGATTAGTACTTTTTAGCACTTTTCGTACCGTTCTAGTATGAATTTCCAAAAACCCAGCCTTTTGCAAGTTTTCAAAGGCATTTTCTAAAAAAAAATTAAAAACATAGCCCTATATACTGTTACCACAGGGGTTTTGGTATTTTTATAGTTCTAGGCTTATTTTCTAACCAACCATTTGCGGATACTTCGTTCGAGTAATATTATACAGTGCAATTCTAATTATTATTGAATTGGAGATATTAATATATATTGTTCTCTCCATGGGAAGTATTAATATATTGCTCTTCTCCAATTCGTAGAACTGTATTGTGAGTCCATGTATATTACAGCCGATTATAATGAAAATGCCTATTTTGCCTTTTGAACTTTAATTGCAAGATTTTCCATCTTTTGAAGTAACAAGTAACAATATCATATTGTATATTACTGTACTACGTACTACTTATTTATGTCTGTTTTCAAGAAAATTGTTTTCATATAACGGAAATTGTTAAGTTTTATTCCATATACCCATTTGTTTGAATAAACCTTCAACCTATGCCCTCAAGCGTGTTAATGGTTGGTTGCTTTGTTGGCTAAGTACAATAAGTTGAGTATTTTGTTGTTGTTTTTTACCCATTTATTATTATTTACTCTCTTTGAAAATCCACGAAATAAAAAGTGGGTCAATTCTAAATTGAAGAAATTAATTTTGATATAAATGCTGAAGGAAATTTCGCATTGAAACATTTCGTATGCGGAAAGAGAATACAATACAAATAAATAATATTCCGAACTCCATCTCTATTCCTACATCTAATATTAACATTTACTCTTCATATACATAAACACTAATTTCCGAAATATCTTCCTTATTTCCATTATACAGATATACGAATACGAATTCCACCTCTGTTCCTGCATCTAATATCAAGTTGAATACCATTCACTCTTCATACTCATAAGCACTAATTTCCGAAATACATTCCTTATTATATACTTTAGCAAATAACTACAGGTTCCGCATTTAGTTCCATTCAGCACTTTTCGAACACATAAGTACACAAAACTACCTTTATATATAATTCGTTCCTCCAATTTCACTAAATTAAATACCAGTTAATAAGTTTTTTAACTCTCCGTCAGTGATCCACATTCCAACATTCCGTTACCTAAATCCAATTGTTTTCCAAATTTAGTGAATTTATTCTACTATTCATACACACATACATTTTAATATCCAAAGCTGTCTCTTTAACTCAATCCTACACATTAACAGTAATCTAAATTACAAATCTCGGAATTTTAGCTCTATCCATTCACCAAAATTCAAATTATATCAACTTTAGTAATGTTCACATTCACACGTAGAGTAACTTCGGGTAATGTGGACCACCATTTCCTTTTTTTGATATTGTGGGCGTAATTGTTTTCACAGCATGGTAGATTTGTTGGCTAATTATATTCCAGGTCAAAAATTATATATATTTGTCCATAAAAATGTTATTGCATTATATTTCAAAAAACTCTAAACTGCAAATAAAAATAACTTGGCGGGTAATGTGGTCCAGTATGTGTGGGTAATGAGGATCAGTAAGTTTAAGGTAGGTTGTGGATTAATTGTGATAAATTTCAATTTATTGCACTCTTGGGTAACAATGAATGCAAAAATATATGGGTCCATGTTTTGGAATAGCCCCCATTTAAGGGTACCACCCCATTTGCGGTATTTTGAAGGTCCTTGCTTCATTATCCAACCGAGGCACCTATAATTTCGGATATCGAGTTTTCAGAGGATAGAATACCTCCTCGCATATTAAATGCGCCCTTGTTTCGAACTCGTCCTCATGAAAATGTCCCACTTTTTCATAGTGGTCCACATTACCCGACATTGAATATTTTTATTCAAAAATAATTATCGGCTTCAAAAATGAATAAAAATTCAAAAATAACCGAAAGTAATTACAGATAAACGTATATTTTTGTTAAAGAAAACAAGAAAACCACATAACCTATTTATATTCGAGAAAAACAAAATGTTCGACAATTTTACAAAATCGTTCGACTATAGGAGGTGATGCAAATGTTGTATACCCATTTGTATTTAGATTGGCAAATTTTTATTTTTTATCCGATTAAATTGAAATTTTACACTTAACATGCTACATGTGTTGTCTTTCCATGTAGTAATTTGAAAATGATATTATTCTAACAATTTAAGAGATATTTGAGAAAATATTGGAAATTCCATAAAAAGTGATTTTATAAAAAGTGCAGGTAATGTGGTATACCACATGATGTTAATGTGGTATAGTATAATTTTCACTTCCAATTGATATCATAAAAAATTTATTGTTTTTAATGAATGCGAGTTAGCTCGAGATTTATGTCTATTAAAATTTTTAACGGATACGTTGAGTGCAACTTTAATTTTTATTATATAATAATGTCTACACATGACAATATTTAATTATTGCATGGAGAAGTTGTTAAAACTCATAGCCTATGTTTTTCATCCTTGTAATTCATGGTAGACTCTCGTAGAGTACAAATGTTTCACATAGTAATGAGATTTTGTCTAGTGCTGGCATTTTTTCATGCAGAATCAAGGTATACCACATTACCAACACTTGTGTTTACTGAAGAAATGTCGAGTTTTTTTCCTAAATTGGTGATTATGTGGTGCAATCGCGCATATTATTTGATTTTTAG